TATATATATATATATATATATATATATATACTTTCATATAGTACATTATACATATAATATTTCATGTTTATTCATGCATTCCCACACTGTCATAGAAAACATGTTTTTATCGCAATTCATATATTTTTATACTTATAAAATATTTACATTTAGCTCATGATAATCATATCAATCGAAATATGTTTTTTAAAATTTAAATTTATATTTATATTATTTAACTAAAAAATGATAATATTAATTTATCAAAAAAGTTTGATAAAATCTCTTACAATACAAACTATATTTAACCTGAAAATTCATCTAAATTTCACACAATTCACTTTATATTGTATGATCAAATGATTTTGAATTATCATAAAATTTTATAAAAATTTTAAAGATATTAAACACATACCAAATTTTAACTTATAACAGAAACATTTGAAAGCATTAGTAATAAACCTAATCTAACAATCGCACCAAGATATCCATGGAATGAATGCAGTATCTCATATCAATTAAGTAGGTGAAGAACCAAGACGTATGACTCATAGGACCAAGTGAAACTATTAAAGATGGTCTGTCAAGCTTAGATATTGATTCGTAACTGACACATTTGGTTCTGTATGAAATTTTTAACATGACAGAATCAGAAATCATTTGCCCTAAATATCAGCATCTGCTGCTAATTTTTGGCTAGTACAGTAGTGGTGCGAGTGTGTTAACATGACAGGATGGGATATCATTGTCCTAAATATGCTTAAAATTCTACTTATGCAATAGAGTTCATAATAAAAATGCTTTTACCTTAATATATTTGGAAGTCATGCACTATGCAGCACATTCAACTTGGATATTCCATATTCATATCAATCTAACAGTTTATATCACACTGCATCTTCTAAGGAATCGCATTACTGCCAATACCTTGCATATTGAGTTAATGGCCAAGATCGAGCCTGCTAACATTAATACTGGATAGGGTATAGAGAACATCTCAAGAATGATAACATTCCATGTTATATCTGATGCTACCTTGCAACCAGCTAATAATAATCTGACAATCCCCATAAAAACTGGTGCCTAATTCTAGAGCCAAATTCAGAGAAAAGAGGGACTTGCCAAAATCCTAAAAGCGTAATTAAATAGAAAAAAATTCCATCCTTTTCTCACCTCAAGCGGCTGACTGTGTAAAGTTTACACTGTAAACTTTACAATTGCCCTGAATTTTTTGAAAAATCAAGAAATGCCAAACATTGCATGATCATCTAAAAGGCACAAACAATACAATGTATGTTCAAAAGTGAAAACTTACATGTGGTAAATTAAAGTTCTTCTATCTTCAAATTTTACCACAAGATTTTTACATGAATTTGTGCTGCTAAGCTATTGTTTTCTTTCATAAAATATCACATGTAATCTATTTGCCAAGCTATCACACTTCAATCATACTTCCGAGCCAATCTATGTTACACTGGATACAACACCTCAAGTTCAGTTACCAATTTTGTGGAGAGGCAAAGATTTAGTTCAAGTAGCTACAAACTTAAGCAACCTAAATAATTTTGTTACTGTGATCACAACCATTTCTTGCCATATCATATGCCAGCTAAATTCTATTAGTATAGCACAACCAGGAATATGTGCAAGAAAAACTTTTGGATCATCTCTACAGTATTTAACAATTAACCAGACTAAAGAAATCAAAGAACATCCTGCTACGTGAGGAGATACACAGACCTAATAAGTTAATGTTCCGCCACTTGAATCGGGTTGACGTAGTGGAACATTCAATAATAACAATAACAAAGTTAATGTTAACATCCTGCAAACAATAACAAAGGTAATAACAGAAAGACATTAAGATATTTAAAGGATCAAATAAAGACGTATATGACAGAAAGATTTACAACAACTTAATATTCCATACAAAGGGTAATTTTGACTTTTTCTATTTATTTGATGAAAGAATCAGAATACAGCTATTTTTCAATTTATTCTATAAGATTGATCATTTAAGGAACAAGAAACAGGGAACAAATAAACTACCTCAAGTTTTATAATCTCTGTAAAACAAAGCATTGTTTATAGTGTTGAATCTCGTATTTTGATGATGAAACCAATTGATAATTGTTTTATGATTTAATCTGTGTTTTGAGTGATGCAGGATACTTCGATCAAGATGAGACAATTAAAACAGGAAGAATCATGTTGGGCCGAAGGAAAACATGTCAGAAGATTGGACGTCGAGCCAGAGGATCGGTCGACGTATCGACAGAAGGCTTCGGGCCATGGATTCGAGCATCGGGCAAAGAAGAGCAAATATTGCGTCAAGGATATCGGAGTTGCAGAGTCAACTGGCCGATTGGGCAATAGGCCGCAAGAGAGGACGATGCGTTGAGGGACCAATGACATACCGGACAACATGATTCAAGCTTAGTAATAATTGTCTAGATCGAAATGTGTTTTATATGTGCAGGATTAACTACGGTAGCAAAGCATGAAGCAAAATAAAGTCCCGGAGTCAAGGACGCAATTTCGTTGGGAGTTCAAGAGTTCGTCAGAAGTCCGAACGTTCGTCGAAAGTCCAGCTGAGAAGCTTGTCGGAACTTGCCAAGAAGATCGTCGTGAAGCCCAGGAGCTTGCCGGGAGTCCGCCGGAGCATTGCCGAGAGATCGTCGGAAGTTCGCCAAAAGATCGCCGAAAGCTCGCCGGAAGAAACCAAGACATAGGGACTTGTTTAGCTTAGGAAATATCTTAAATTTCGTAATTAGCACATGGATTGGAATTGAGCCAACCCAATTAGGGTTCAGTTGGGCCCATGTAAGGACTGTGTTGGGCCCAATGAGAGGCCCAAACAGTATCCCAAGAAGTGACATCGTCGTGGCAAAGTCTTCGAGACTGTGTCAAGCGGTGGTACTACTAGTATGGGCGGTTGTACCACCCCTAGCAGGGTGTCAGGTGATGGTATCGCCAATCTAGGCGGTGGTGCCGCCTAGTGTCAGAACTGACACTGGCGGTGGTACTGCCCATACCCGGAAAACCCGGGATGAGATGTTTTTATGCTCCAAGTTCGAATCAACTCGAAGCCTATAAACACCCCTCTCATCCCTGGTTAAGACACACAAGTATTGAGAGTAAAAAAGGAAAGAAACGCTGCTGCAATCTTGTGTGAGCTCTTCTCAAAGTTCTAAGTGTTAGAATAGTTTGAGAGAGGAGTAAGTGGGGGTGTAAGGGTTATCTCCTAAACTCAATAAAAAGAGAAGGTTGATCTTCGCTTATTAAAGGAAGATCGATAGTGGATGTCGGTGGCCTCGACGGAAGAGGAATCGACGGAGTAGATGTAGGTCACGACGATCGAACCACTATAAATCGGTTTGCATTTACTTCGAGTAATTTACTTTTATAGCAAACTGCCTCTCCTCCTTACTGTGCTTTTACAACGCCTACGCTCGCATAAGCTTTCAAGTTATCTTTACGAAACGATTTTCGTCGAAAATGATTTTATCGTATGAAGGTTTTTTAAACCGACGTAGTTTTTACCGCTGCACTAATTTACCCCCCCTCTCTTAGTGCCGACCCCGCTCTTGATCCTAACAATTGGTATCAGAGTCTCGTTTTCTCATTTGATTTAACCCCCAAAGAGAAATTGCTCTTTTCGGCTTTCAAGAGGGTCACTCTCTCATTCGTCCTCCCTTATTCAATGGGACGGACTATACTTAAAACTCGAATGAGAGTCTTCTTGCTTTTTTTTATATTTGAATTTATGGAATATTATCGAAAGTGGTTTTAGAAGGTCAACTATTCCAATAAACCATTAGAATGATTTGGAGAAGAAGACTTTTTCCTTAAATGTTAGAGCTATGAACGCTCTATTTTGCGCTCTGGATAAAACTGGATTTAATCGAATTTCTATGTGCAAAACGACATTTGACATATGGCACACTCTCGAAATCACACACGAAGGCACTAATAGAGTAAAAGATTCGAAGATTAATTTTTTAATGTATAGTTTTGAGCTGTTTCAAATGAAACAAAGTGAGACTATTGGAGACATGTACACCCGTTTTACGAATGTCGTTAATAGTTTAAAAGCTCTTAGTAAAAGCTTTTCGAATTTTGAACTCGTTAACAAGATTTTACGATCGCTTTCTAAAAATTAAAATTTAAAAATAATGGCTATTCAAGAATCAAAAATTTTGAATGCTTTTTTGATCGAAGAACTTATCGGGTCTCTAATGACCTATGAAATGACGTGCAATGCACGTGAAGAACTCAAAAACCAACTTCCAAAGAACAGGAAGGATTTTGGACTAAGAACAATCGAAGACCACTCGAGCATAAGCTCAAGTGGTGGTGAACTTGAACTCATCACTATGAAATTTAAAATTTTCATTAAACAAAAATTAAAGAACAAAAAGAACGGAACTACTTGCTATGAACTTAAGAAGAAGTTGGCAAAAGACGAATCGAGCTCCTCCGAAAACTAGGAGAAAATCGACAAAGGCAAGGTGACAAACTACACCTTAACGGCATTCGATGATGAGGTAATCAAAATGCCTTTAATTTATTTCGAAATTACATGATGCTTTTCATGAATTATTTTTAATTTAGTTTAAAATTAATTTTCTTAAAAATTACATGTTTAATAATGAAAATATAAAAATTAGGAATCATGCTTATCATTCTAGTAATTTTAAAAATAATCATAAAAATTACATGTTTATGATAAACAAAATGATTTTGATATTAAATGTTACGAAATCATGTTTAATGAGTTTATCTTTCTAAAATTATGCATGATGATTCTTGTCATTTATGGACTATCGATTTTTACCATAATGAAAGTGGTTTTTTCGATTTTAAAAATGATGCATGTTTTGATTTAACATAAAAAAAGGTATGCTTATATGAAATAATGTAAGTATCATGCTTGATGATTTTATATTTAATTAAGCATGATGATTTGATCTTGATGATTTCCATTATGATATTTGCTCTTTCGTTTTTTAAACTATGATGCATGATTTTTATACGAAAAACTTGAGCATGTTTATATGAAATCAATCACTTAACATGAAACACATAGAAAGGAAAATATATTATCATTGGAATTAAAATAGTGAATCTATTTATGTTATGAGTTTTGTGAATCTCCTGAAAATGATTTTGATTTGACGATTTGAATTTGAATGAGCTTTAACTTGATTTTTTGAGACTTATAACTTGAGATTCTCTTTATATGAATCAAGATTTTTCATTATTCTCCTATGATTCTCGTAATTATAATTTAAATTTTCTATTGAATGAATCAAGATTGTTTTCTATTTAAGAGGAGATTTGTCGTAATGGTTTATGGTCTTTTAATATTCATGATCTTGATAATTATGTTTTTGAAACTTTATGTAAATCAAGATTGTTCATCATGATTCTCTCGTTTTATCAAAGAGAATATTTTTTAAAATGAATCATAAGTTGTTTTCTCTTGATTTTTCGATACCCACAATTTGATAAAATGTACTTTGATGCTTGGAACATTTTATGCATAAATTGATTTTTTCTCTTATAATTCAATACTCCTTTGTTAGCTTGATTGATAAAACATGAGATTCTGTTTATAATATAAATTTATTGTTCTCATAATATGAAAATTGATGTAAAGGCAAAAGGATTACAAAATTGTATTCTTCCCCTCTTTTTACCAATGACAAATGGAGAGAAAGAATTGCTAGTATGCACATCTCTAAAGAGAAAAATTACTAGCTTGCACTTTTAAAAAGAGACGAAAGAATGATGCTATCTTCTGAATTTTGCTATGTTACATATTTCAAGAAAATACAAAACTGATGTTATCTTGTACATTTCAAAAACTTGCTAGTTTGAACATCGTAAAGAAAAGCAAATATGTCAACTTGCACATCTTTAAATTTGCTAACTTGCATGTTTTAAAATGATGTAACACTTGTTAAATTTTTGCTAGCTTGCATAATGATAAAACTGGAAATTATGTTTAATATACAACGATTTGAACTTGTATTTCTAAACGCATGAGAATTGAACTTCTCCTTTTTGTTGATGACAAAGGGGGAGAAGTATGATCATGTTATGCATGATAACGTGTTGCAAATATTCGTGATGAAATTTGCAATGACTTGAATTCAGCTTGAATTCAAGGTTCTATCAATATGGCATATTGATAGGGGGAGGTTGTTTAAACTTCGGGAGTTAAGGTTAACTCCGTCATCAATTGGTTATCATCATCAAAAAGTGAGAGATTGTTGAATCTCGTATTTTGATGATGAAACCAATTGATAATTGTTTTATGATTTAATCTGCGTTTTGAGTGACATAGGATGCTTCGATCAGGATGAGACAATTAGAGCAGGAAGAATCATGTTGGGCCGGAGGAAAACATGTTCGAAGATTGGATGTCAAGCCGAAGGATCGGTCGACGTATCGATAGAAGGCTTCGGGCCATGGATTCGGGCATCGGGCCAAGAAGAGCAGATATTGCGCCAAGGATATCGGAGTTGCGGAGTCAACTGGCCGATTGGGTAATAGGCCGCAAGAGAGGACGATGCGCCAAAGAATCGGATGAAGCGTCGATGGACCAATGACATGCCGGACAACATGATTCAAGCTTAGTAATAATTGTCTAGATCGAAGTGTGTTTTACATGTGCAGGATTAACTACGATAGCAAGGCATGAAGCAAAATGAAGTCTCGGAGTCAATGACGTGATTTCATTAGGAGTTCGAGAGTTCGTCGGAAGTCCGGACGTTCGTCGGAAGTCCAGTCGAGAAGCTCGTCGGAACTTGCCAAGAAGATCGTCGTGAAATCCAGGAGCTTGCTAGGAATCCGTCGATGGACTTGTTTAGCTTATGAAATGTCTTAAATTTTGAAATTAGCACGTAATTGGGATTGGAATTGAGCCAACCCCAAATAAGGACTGTGTTGGGCCCATGTAAGGACTGTGTTGGGCCCAATGAGAGGCCCAAATAGTGTCCCAAGAAGTGACACCGTCGTGGCACAATGTTCAAGACTGTGTCAGGCGGTGGTACCGCCAAGCATGGGTGATGGTACCATCCATACCCGGGAAACCCGAGATGATATGTTTTTAGGCTTCAAGTTCGAATCAACTTGAAGCCTATAAATACTCCTCTCATTCCTAGTTAAGACACACAAGTATTGAGAGTAAAAAAAGAAAGAAATGCTGCTGCAATCTTGTTTGAGCTCCTCTCAAAGTTCTAAGTGTTAGAATAGTTTAAGAGATGAGTAAGTGAGGGTGTAAGGGTTATCTCCTAAACCCGATAAAAGGATAATCGAGTTGTAAGAAGGAGGTTGATCTTTGCCTATTAAAGGAAGATCGATAGTGGATGCCAGTGGCCTCGATAGAAGAGGAATCAACGGAATGGATGTAGGTCACAACGATCGACCCACTATAAATCAATTTATATTTACTTTGAGTAATTTACTTTTATAACAAATTATCTTTTGTCACTGTGCTTTTACAACGTGGCATATGCTTTCAAACTATCTTTACAAAACGGTTTTCGTCGGAAATGATTTTATCGATGATTTTTTTAACCGACATAGTCAACAACACCTGCCACATGAGATCTGTGGAAAGAAATCAAGACAAATGGTCCCGTCACAGGTCACACGGACTTGTTTCACCTGCTTCACGAAGTCAAGTTGACAGCTGACTCAGATGGGAAGGAACAGAGAGAGAGAGAGAGAGAGGCACAATAAACCATTCTGGGTTCCAAGGAGGACACAGACACAATCCACAGAACCTCCATGAAAGCCGAAGGACGATCAACACGAATCAGAAACAGCAGAAAGAACAATGTTAACAAGAAACAAGAAAATTGTCCAGTTAGATCCTAAATTAATATCGATAGGCGTTCGATGTCGTGTTCAAGAATTGGGATGCGCGATTTCGGATGACAAAGGAAACGAAAAGGAAATCAGACGGTGCAAAACAGTCGCCCGATTTCATCGAAGGGGAAAGAAACAAGCCCGGCAAGGGCAAGAAAGGCCAAGAAGGGATGGCGAATACCTAAAGACTCCATCGCTAGCCGGTAGTGTGGTGTCTTGCTCACCGAACCCGTTGGCCGCCCTCTACCCCGCTTCATCGCCGAACCGCGGCCGCCGACGTGTACTCGACGCCTGTCGGCACGGACGCCAAGATCGGCATCGGGTTCAGCGGCCGCAGCAGGTTCCCGTCCGGCCCATACTTCCTCGGCCGCCCCCCTCTTCTGCTTTATCGGCTCCGTGACCGGCCCGACCGCGACTCTCGCCGGCGGAGCTGCCTCCGTCGCCACGGCAGGTAAGCCACCGGTATCGCCAGCAAGATTCTCCTCCCTTGCGAGGCGGCGGTGGAGGCTGGTATCTCCCTGACGCGTTGGCCGCCGCCATGGCTGGAGAAGTTAACGCTCCTTCCCTGGTCTCCATGCGTAGATGAACCTCAAGAAACACTGAAAGAACCCGCAGACGAGGCTGGAAGGAGCTCTCCTTCGCCCGCCGGGTTCCGATCTTTAGGGTTCCTTCCAGCTCTCGCCATTGGAGGTCACCACCACGAGCTCCACTGCAGCAAAAATTAAAATAAGAAAAAGGAACAGAGATTTCGTTCAAAATTCTTCGCTAATTTTTCATGCCTCTTCTAATCGATATGGATTGCTGCCGATTTCAGACGACAATAAAAACAAAAAGAGGAAGAAAGGAAGACACGAGAGTGAAGATTTCAGACGACAACAAAATCAAGAAGAGGAAGAAAGTAAGCGAGAGAGGTGGAGAGAGAGAAGAAATTATTATTGGAACTGCAAAAGTCGGGTGAGAAATGTAAAAGAAAGACATAATACTAATAAATATGATATAACAACTCGATTATTTTAATGATTAGCGTTACAAAAATCGAAATATACCGAACCGGGAACTGAAATATTATTATTTGTTAGAAAAACAAGAAAAAACACGGAAATATGATTTGATGAGAGGAAAGGATGATGTCAGCATTGCAGAGGTGGGATCGCCTGGACGGAATCCAACTGACTCAGCCATAGAAATTTTCGAGACTGGATGTAGCGTAGCCTTTGGCACACCAGATCTCGGTGTGACCCACGCTTACTAGGTCCGCATTTCAGGCTTACGTAACCCTGGAGATTTTCCGTGTTGGTTCAGCCATGTTGTCGTTTGGGCACGCCGCGTAAGATTTATGTTGTCGTGTTGTCGGAGGCCTAGAGAGCGTTGAAAGGTTGACCAACGGTCGACCAGGAGTTGACCCCAAAGCATGAAAATATACATGGAATCTTCGATTTCTCACTTCCCTTCCCGTTACGTACAAAACCCTAAGGAAGAGAAGCCACCAACTGGTGGTGCATACAGACCAGGAAGCTAAGAACATGACTTGATCAACCCCAAGTTGTACAGGTTTCTCCTAACTAAACTGCCCAGGTAGAACAACCCAGTGCCGACACCACCCAGAGATGCTTCCCTGTTGGTTGACTCCTTGCGGCAGAATCGCGGCCGTTGCTCCTCCTTCACCTTGAGGCGATCAAAACCGATCCTCAGTCGGACGGCCTCGATCGCCTTGGGATCCGCGGCTTTCCCGGCGGCGTCCGTCACGTAGAAGACATCCGACGCCATGTCGCCTTTCGTCGACGCCTCTGCTCTCGTCACCAGAAGCCCGTTCTCCCGGAAGGTTCGGGTTACATCGGAAAGGAGCCCCGGTCGGTCCTCGATGCAAAGCTCCAATCTCGTGCCCTGTGACCATCCACAAGATCAGGACTACTAATCTTTTGCAGGAAGTAGGATGCGTTAAGGCTTCGGTTATTTACCTCTGATGCTCTCCTTTCGATGGCGGCTTGCAAGCATTGGATCACTTGGTGCCTCTCAGCTTCTGAATCGATGGGGCTACCATTCTTATGCCTTATGTAGAACTCCTGAACGGATCACAGGTCGTAATTAGCCCGAAAGACTAGGAAAGACGGAAGATTTGTCCCAGTTTGTGGATCATGAGCTGTTGAGGAAAAGATCGCACCTGATGAGCTGAATCACCATCAGTGTCGATGGTGCCGTGAAACACTACATACTGCATGTCCGTTAGCGTCCACACGATGTCGAACAGCAGCTTCGGTCGGTCGCGACACTGCACGTTGACGACGGAGTAGCCACGCTCGTCCCAGTTCTGGACCGAGACGAAGGTTGATGAGGCAGGAGCCGATGGACAGCGGTCGTAGTCTCGGTCGGCGAGCATCAGCTGGTGGAGTCGACTGTCGGGGTGGGCGACGGCCATGGAGGTGACAGCCGTCTTGCCGCTGCGGACGCCATGGTCGCCCTTGAGGACGTGGCGGAGGCGGGACTCGATGCGGTGGATCCTCTGCTCATCATCGAGGGGCGAGCCGGAGAGCTGGTCCTTGAGGAAGAGAATGCACGCGACGCGGCCGTCGTGCGTCCACACCGTGGCCTCCACCACGTCGCATTGAAGGTCGGCAAGCACGGCGAAGACTTCGGAGAGGAGGCCCGGGCGGTCCGTCCCCGTCAGCTCCAAGGCCGTGAGCCCTTCGCAGCGGTGGCTTCTGTTGATTTCCGGGTTCCCCGTGTCCAAAGACTGTATTTTCAGGCCACCGTCAGAAAATAAGGTGGGATATTTCGGCCGCGTTGTCGAAGTGAGGGGAGGAGGAGAAAGTTCTAGACCTGCTCGAGGTAGGAGATGACGCTGTCATCGGTGAGCTTGTTGCCGAACTGGTCGGTGACGTGGAAGACGTCCATGAACCAGCGGCCATCGGAGGAGATGTAGGCCTTCTTGACAGAGAGGTTGAGGTCGGTTAGGACATGGATGGCTTCGAGGAGAACGCCGTGCTTCCTCGACGCGCTGTCAACCTGTTGTTGGTTTCCATTAGAACCACAAAAGAACCGAACCATGCGGAACTATGACTCCTTACCTTGACGAGAGTTGCGATCGGGCAAACAGCATTGTCGATGACGACCCTACAGCAATACAACAAATGAGAAAGATGATCATTACACTGTGTCAACGAGATTTCATTTCTTTTTCCTGGCAAAGATCGGTTTACAAATCGAACGAAAATTTGAAGTTGAAGAAAGATTGGATTTTTATAGGAGATCAAACCATAGGACTTGAAGCAAAAAAAGAAAACAGAGCTTTAAAAGCTCCATTAAACTTACTTAGGAGTGTTCATCCTGATGACGAGCTTCTCGTACTCATCCAAATACGCCGGCCTCTCCATAACCCCTGTTGCTCCGCTTTTCACAGCTTTATCTCCGGCAAGAGGACGGGGAGGACACGAAAGAAGAAGGCGTTCGAAGAATCCGCCGCTGCCTTCGGTATTTGAAACCCCTTCAAGAGCACCAACCGGACCGAGCGGGGGCCACATGAACCCGATGGGGCCCAGCCGCAGGGACAAGTGAGGCGAAGACAGCGACGCGGGGACTCGCGTGCGACAACGTGGGCTAAGCCGGGTTCGATTCGTGGCCGCAATCTAATTCCGATGCCTGTGAGCATACTTAATTGCTGCTTTCCACGTAATCGAAGAGCCAAATCCACAGAACACTGAATTCAGGAACTCCTGTTGCATCCACTAGTTAATGATTCATGCAAGACCAGTCATAATTAGAGCACGCGTGGGATGATCCGGCGGCATGAAAGATCAGATATAATAACTGCTCCATTAAGAAGCACGACCACCGTAGTTGGGAAGAGATGGAACTCCACAAAGCCTTCCGCACGACCACCGTCGATGCCGACATGTTTGCAGCGGTAATTAACGTGTGTCGGACTCGTTATTATTACGGCAAGCATGGAGTAAGGATTATAATAGCGCAGCATTCAATGCAGCCATACGGTGTGGTGCGGCTAAACTGCTCTCTCTCTCTCTCTCTCTCTCTCGTGCATGTTCGACGCCTCCGTCGTGCGTCGCACAACCTCGTTCATGGCGGAGGAGTGAGCACAGACTGGAGCAAGGCTGGGCGTCGACCCACGGCAGGTTTTGTCAACTCGCAACGTGCTGCAATCTGCCCGCGGAAATGTCACGTTCTGTTCACGAAGGATCTAAATTTATGTGCTGCAGATCTCAACATAATCTTACTTCTTAATGACAATTATTTAGACTCAGAAAAAAATACATATTGATTGATCTGTTGGTGGTCGTCGAGAGCTCAAAGAACGAGTTTTGTGAACTATCACTGGTCGTATGACCCCAGCAAACTATAAGAGCCATTTGCCCCCTCCTCCATAGTATATGATAAGTGAGGAATAACATGACTCACACGAGAGCATCGCACGGTGATACGTGATTGACATGTCAAACGTTAAAAAATCATATCGATTACACAAGGCTCGCACATGATGATAGGATCCGAAAACATGTGATCGTCGCTAGTACTACGTGATCGAGCAATCGATCATCTTCATCATAACCCATAATCAGCACCGTTCGATTAGTCCAACTAGTTTGAACTTCAAATATTAACTTGATCGTGAAAGAAATATTTGTCGGGATTTCTCGACTTAATTTTTTAAGTTGAACGCAAATGTAAATAGTGATTTAGACTGAGAAACATACTTGGAACAGGTCTCAATATGAATCACCATCACCACTCGGACAATCAAAATATGCTGTATAATAACTAATAGAAAGAATAGAAGATAAGAACAATGATTAAAGAAGTTTTATTAAATAAATAAAATAGTTTTAGCTTGAATATATTAACATGTTTTCTCTTCTATTTATACATATTAGGAGGAAGGATTTCCCTCAACAGAATAAACAGAATAGAAAAATTAAAAATTTCCTCGTATAGTTGGGGAAGCAAAGATTGGATCGATGCAAAGAATGGTTTAAAACGAGAGGCTTTTTGGGGAATATATTAACATATTCCCATTTCCTCGTATGGTTGGGGACAGTTTCGCTTCTTGCTTCTTATTCCACAGTTCATGATCACAACTAAGGGGAACGATTGAAGCAAGTCGTCGATCCTGAGCTACAAAGTCTAGCTCACGAAGCAGACGAAAGGATCTTTTGAATCCCCTTTCCGCTGGACTTTAGTGCAGCACCAGCCCCGGAAATATGACATCATGCTCCCTAGAACAGTCGCAATGGCAGACAAGCTTCATGAGCCATGCACCCACTTCCTATCAACGGATCGTCTTTGGCACAGCCAAAATATCCGTAAGTCATCATAGAGACATTTTCTCGTGGCTAATTTCACCTACAGACGCAGTCAAATGACAGCACTAAAAGAAAACTTTAGTTAATAAACATAATATTAGTCAAATTGGATCGTAACAACTGACATCAATACGGATCGGTGAGTTTGAAACTTATTAAAACGAAGGTTTCTCAAATTATTATTATTTTATTTATCTTTCCTAAGGATAAAAACACCAAGAAATAACACACACACACTACATTAATAGTTACAATGCATAGCATGGCATACATTTCAAGTTTTTGAAGGATGTCGTTTACGGTGACAACATCAAATAAAATTGTTTCACATAATATAAATTGATGTTGAAAATTAAAATAAAACTTTATCATTTTTTTTCTTAGAGTTGGTGTTAAAAATTGACTATGTCTTAGCAAGAATAAGAGATTTTTTGTAATTAGATTAGGACATTATTTTGATCCATAAGATTTGTCACCTTATAAAAGTTGACATATAGATATATGAAAATAGTGATGACTATTTCCAACCAATTGTTAATGAATTATTTCATTTCCAACTGCATTTGATTTGCTAGTCAATTAAAATCTTCACCCAAATATGCCCTGAATCAAATAGGTCACATGAGGCCCATCCGGTCCACACAACGCTTAGCCCAATAGTGACTCTATATGTACCTTTAGCCTCTATTTAGGCTTATTTAATATCAAGTCTAATCTAAGGTGATCGACATATGGCATTTCACAACTATACATTCACTTAATCTTATATATATATATATATATATATATATATATATATATATATATATATATATATATA